GCGGGGGGCTCGGGGGGCAGCGCGGCCAGCAGCGGCTACTGCAGCCAGGAGGACTCCGACTCCGAGCCCGAGCTCTTCTACACCGCCCGCACCTCCTTCGGCCGCCGCCCGCGTCGTCGCCAGGTCGGTCCCGGGCCGGCCGTGACGTCGTGGGGCTGACGTCATGCGGAGGGCACGGGGTGCTTTTTGGGTGGGAGGAGTTCGGGGGTACTTCTGCATGGGGGCATGCGTGGGAGCGAGCATGGCTTGCTACTGGGGCAAGCGCGGGGGGAGAGCGTGCCTTGCTGGGAGCGAGCTGTCCCCATCCCCAGGCGGGTCCAGCAGCCCCCGTCCCGGCTGCTCCCACCTCCACAGCACCGTGAGCACACGTGTGGCTGTGCGGTCCCACGTAAATAGTTATTAACAGATCCGGGCGGGCTGCCCCGAAGCCTAGGGCATCCCCGCGGGGCACCCAGCCTGCCCCGGTGCCGGGCTGGCGGCTGCCTCGGGGACACCGCTGTGAACTGGGGCACTGGGAAGGGACGCCCGGCCCCGGACTGTCCCGGCAGGGAGGAACGTGGGTTAGCATCGCCATCTGTCACCCCACGGCCCTGGGGTGCCCATCCCAGCTTTGGGGCCGGGGACGAGGCCGTGGGGGTGGCTTGGCACCGGGCAACGTGACCCTGCACAGCCCGCGCTCAGCACAGACGCTGCCCTGCAGGATGAGCCCAGCAGCTGGGAGACGGCGGAGCTGGACCCGGCGCAGGTGGAGCAGCGCATCAAGGAGTACAACAGCCAGATCAACAGCAACCTCTTCATGAGCCTGGTATGAGGATGGGGAGGGACAGAGGGGACCACAGCCCCGGCCCTGCTCACCGCCCCGCCGTCTCTCCGTGGCAGAACAAGGATGGCTCCTACACTGGCTTCATCAAGGTGCAGCTGAAGCTGGCGCGCCCCGTCTCTGTGCCAGCTGCCAAGCGGGGCCCTGGGGGGCGGTCGGGGCAGCGCACGGCGGGCGTGAAGCGCCGCACATCCTTTTACCTGCCCCGCGGCACCGTCAAACACCTGCACGTGCTCTCGCACACCCGCGCCAGCGAGGTGATCAGCGCGCTGCTCCGCAAGTTCACCGTGGTGGACGACCCCCGCAAGTTCGCCCTCTTCGAGAGGTCCGAGAAGGATGAGCAAGGTAGAGCCGGGGTGGTGGCATCCCCATAGCGGCAGCGTCCCCGTAGCGCTGGTTGTCCCCCATGGCGGTGGAGTTTCCAGCAGCCCCCCCCCCCCCCCGTGGCAGTGATGGCCCCATCGCGGCAGCATCCGCTGCGTTCCTTACGGTCAAGGTCCGCGTGGCCGCGGCGCTGCCCCCCATTGCAGCAACGTCCCCGTAGCGGCGGCACCCCAATGGCCGTCGCGCATCGCTCTAGCAGCGGTGTCCCCGATGGCGGAGGCATCCCGCGGTGGCAGCATCTCCGCACCGTTTTCGTCCCCCACGGTGGCGGAGTCCCCGGGGCGGCAGCCCCTTCCGGCAGCTGCGTCCCCACCCGCGGCGATGCCATCCTGGTGCCACGTCTGCCCGCAGTGTACCTGCGCAAGCTGGCGGACGAGGAGCAGCCGCTGCGACTGCGGCTGCTGGCAGGACCCAGCGAGAAGGCGCTGAGCTTCGTCCTGAAGGAGAACGAGAGCGGCGAGGTGAACGTGAGTGTGGCGGGGGAGGCGCGGTGCCGCGCGGCGGTTCCGTGCGGGCGGTGCGGCGTAGCAGCGCTGTGTCTCCGCAGTGGGACGCCTTCTCCCTGCCCGAGCTGCACAACTTCCTGCGCATCCTGCAGCGCGAGGAGGACGAGCAGCTGCGCCGCGTCCGCCACCGCTACGCCCGCTGCCGCCGGGAGCTGCAAGCCGCGCTGGCTGCCCGCACGCCGGACTGACGCCAACCGCACCGGCACGGCCGCCCGCCGGCGGGGGGACGTCGCCGGGAGCGCGGGGCGGCGCGGGGCGTCGCGCTCCGATCAATAAAGCTCTGGGAGAAGAGGCGAGGCGTGCCCGTGCCTGTTTCTGCGCCGCGTGGTCGGCCCGGGACTCGAACCGGCGGCCTACTGCTTCTCGCCGCGAGGTGCCACGAGGAGAAGGCGCTCCGCTCCGTCGTCACGTGACGAGGGCGCCCCACCTCTCCGTGTCACGTGCAGGGGGGCGCCGCCGCGCGCCGGAAGTGTCGCAGCGCGACGGCGTCTGCGGCGCAGGCCGGCAGACAGGGAGGCGGGCGGGTGGGCGCTGGGCCGCTATCGCTGGGCCGCCCCCCGCCTTCCCCCGTCCCCTTCCCCCGGGCCCCGCCGCCGCCATGGGTGCCAGCGGCTCCAAGTCGCGGGGGCTGTGGCCGTTTGCCTCCTCGGCGACGGGCGGCGGCGGAGCCGAGGGTCCCGGCGGGCAGCAGGCCCTGGCCCGGGCGCGGGGCGGGCGCGCCGCCACCCCGTTCGTCTTCACGCGCCGCGGGTGAGCGGGGGGCGCGGCCGCGGCTGCAGCGGGGTGGAGGCGCCGCGGGGCGGCTGCCGTAGGGATGAATGGGGGCACCGGGAGCGGCCCGGCGGCCCCCTGCGTGCGGTGCCGCCTGCGGGCGCCGCTCCGGGGCACCGCCAGCCCTCCTCGCTCACGTGCCCGCCGCCCATTCCCGCAGCTCCATGTATTACGACGAGGACGGGGATCTTGCGCACGAGTTCTACGAGGAGACGATCGTCACCAAGAACGGGAGGAAGCGTGCCAAGCTGAAGAGGATCCACAAGAACCTGATACCTCAGGTAGCGTGTGCAGAGGGGCGGGCGTGGGGCCGGTGGCTGGCAGCTCCTGCACACGGCCGCGACCCTCAGAAGCCCCAGTTTGCTGCAGGGAAGGCCTGCTTCTACTGCTCCCGTAGCTCCGGGGCTCCGGCTGTGTTACGGACCGGCTCACTCGTGCCATCTTGCAGTGCTGTGCCACCCTGCTAGCTCCCTTTCCACAGAGGAGCGGTGCCTGGTGCGTGATGCCGTTGGGCAGAGCAGATGGATCCTCTGGATTTGTGCTGTGGAGAGCCTGCCCGTGGCACCCTGTCCACTGAGCACTTTCCCTCTGCTGTGGGAGCTGGCAGAGCAGTGTCACATTGTTACAGAGTTGCTGGGAGCAGCGCCAGAGCCTGTCATGTGCTAACGTGAGCGTGCCCTCAGCAGTGACAGCACTGCTGCCACCAATGGGCTCTGCATATTGGGTTGCTTGGGATTTGGTCTCTTCTTAAAATAAGTGAATGTGGTGAAGCCAGACAGGGGTTGGGACACTGGTTGAGGTACAGGAGAAAAATAACTTCAGTGTAGGGGAGCTTCTGGGGGTGTAAGTGGAGAGCCTGTCAGCAGAGGCAGTCTGCAGACGTCTGCGAAACAGGGAAGGCATGGCCCCAGCCTGAGCCCAGGGGGAGCTGTTGGTGCACTCCAAGGGGTGTGCAGCAGGACAGGCTCTGCTGCTCTCATGGAGGAGGGTAGGGATGTGGAGTTGCATCCCATCCCTCCTCTGTGTGGGTTCAAACTCCTGCGGTTAGACAGCATGGCCCGGCTAGAATGAAGCACAGAGCGTTTCTTCGCTGGCCCCGGCTTTTCTTTGCTCTTTTATCCTAATCCTGCCAAGGAAATGTACATTTCTCACCCTGGTGAGCGCAGAGCCCCGCTCACACTGCTGTCTCACAAACGTGTCCTCGCAGGGCTGTGACAGGAGATTGCTTGCCCCAGAGCATGGGAACGGCGCCTGTAGCTGGCATGGATGGAGCGTGCATTCAGCAGTGTCCCCTTGGACAGAAAGCTGCTTTTCTCACGCGCTAGCTGCCCTCACTGCATTTTCTCAGAGAGCTCTTTTCATTCTTTTAAATCCTGTGAATGAAAGGTGCCGAATGAAAAGCTGGGGCAGCCAATATCTGCCAGTCACGCATCAGCTGCCGCACGGGCAGTGCCTGGCAGAGCAGCTCCCTCCTTCCTCGCCCGGCTGCACTCCAGACCTGTCGTGTGCGGCGGCAGCCGCGCCTCCTGTGCCTCCCCGGGGCCAAGGGCAAAGGGCAGAGCACTCCTGCGCTGCCTCTTTGCTGTCCTTGCTGCCAAGGTGGCAGTGCAGACCTTTCCCTTGAGGGCATGTCGCCCTCAGAATGGTGCCTTGCAGAGCTTTGTTTGCCTGAAAGTGCTTGTTCTGTCCCTGTGCCACCTCCTGTCCACCACTCATCCTCTTCTTTCAGGGCATAGTTAAGCTGGAGCACCCTCGCATTCATGTGGATTTCCCTGTGATCATCTGTGAGGTGTGACTGCTGGGTGCTGCTGCCCGTGGGCAAGACGGACCTGACTGTCCCTGCGCGAGGCTGCCCTGTGTTCCCAGCGAAGGAGGACGCTGAGACCCTCGCCCAAAGGCCAGGCAGGACGGAGCAGCTTGGCTGGGCTGTACTTGGCTGCTGCTCCTCGGAGAAGATGGGTGCCCTCGTGCAACTACATAAAAACATCCTCGCTTGAGTCAAAAGACGTAAAATACCTTTTGTAGCCTCTAGCCGACGTTTGGATGGGTAACTGGAACTGCACACGAGCTGCTGTGTGAGCTGTTAAAGGGAGAGCGAGCCTACATTTCTCGCCAGACAAAATCCCTTGCTTCTCAGGTATGTGGCCCAGGGAGAGCCAGAGCAAGGTGACTCTGCCCAGAAGTTACATGGCTGGTGTTGCAGCAGCGCGCAGTCTGGCATGGTCACTACACAGTGCTCCCCAGCAGTGCCCACAGAAGATAGCCGGAAGCTGGTGTCGAAACGCATCCAGCTGAGTGCTGTGCTCCTCTTGGGATGGGGCAGAGGTAGGATGCCATTATCCTGGCCACCTGTCTCTTCTTTGTGCGTGTTCCCTGCTTAACACTGGTTCTGGAGACTGCTGCCTGCACCACAGACCCTGAGATCTCTGCGGTGCAGAGCTGTCTGAGTTCCCCAGCAGCATCTGCCCACCCTGTCTGCCCGCTTGTTCTGTGGGAGCGATCTGGCTCCTGTAGAGCACAGTACCTCCCAAAGGGAACAGCCTCAGCAGGGCCAGGCGTGAAGGAAATCATCACTTCCCTCCCCGTTCCTCTTTAAACAATCAGTCAGTAGGCCTGCCCTGGCTTGGAAATCTCCCTGGCGATGTGAACTACGGTTCCTCCCTCGCCCCGTGCCCCAGCTGGTGGCAGGAGGAGAAATGCAATGCACTTTAAAGGGAGGCTTTCTGCCCTGTCTGGAAAAGCCCTGCTCTCTTCTCTCCCACTTGAGCAGATTGGCACAGATCGGCCTCGGCTGTGCTGCAAAATTCTTCACCTCTGCACACGGGCCCTGGGCTCCGAGCTGGCTGCTGCTGGGCTGGGGAGCAGCACCATCCATGCTGCCACCTGCTAGCTCTGGTGGCCCCTGCTCAGCCTCACTGCACATGAGGAAGGGGCTTGAGGACAACCTGTGTGTCCACCCCAGGGCATTGGGTGCAGATTTTGCCTAGCCTGCAGCCTGCTCCCACAGTGGCCAGCTTGCATCCCCTCCTTTTTTGTCCCAGAACTTATTTACTTTCTGAGCACTTCAGACGTTCGCTACCTCGATTTTTGATTTAAGCTGCCAGCTCTTGGCTGCCGGCCCTATCGGCGTCCGCATTGGATGTATCCATCCCTGTGCCCACCGAGAGCCGCCCAGGCGCTGGGCCGCATTCCTGGCTTCTGGGAGATAAAGGCGGCGTGGCTGTTGCCGTCTTCCTGTCACCGCCTCTTCCCTCCGTGTCCCCCACCCGCTGTTCCCACTGACAGGGGCCGGCGCGGAGGGCGAGGCGGATGGGCTGGGCTCCAGCGGGGAGCTGGTCTGCACTGTGATGCTGGGCATTTCTCTCGACATCCTTTGTTCCCCTGCTTGCTTGGAAGAGTCTGTCTTCAAACAATCCCCCACTGAAGTGTTTCTTATTCATGCCACCTGCTCTGAGACGGGCTCAGACCGCAGCCTCCTGAGAACGGCGTCTCCGGGGCCGCTTTTGTTCTCTCCCGGAGGCTGCCCTGCCCCTTCTACCCTTCCCCCAGGACACCGCACACGCTTCCCCCTGCCCGTGGATTCTTCCGCCCCTTTTCCCGGCAAGGCAGCGAGCACTGAGCGCCTCACCAAGCTGCTTCTCCCAGCCTGGCCCCCTCCTGCTGTGTGGGGCAGGCAGGTCCTGGGCGTCTGGAGGGAGCTGGAGAAATGTGACAAACGTGTAAATAGTGTCTGTGTCCACTGCATCATTGGAGCAAGTGAAACGAGGAAGTTTCCTTTCCTTTCTTTTTTCTCTTTTTTTTTTTTTTTTTTTACAACTTCTGTGCAGCGTTGTGCTTTCCCGTGTGGATGTGTAGCTGGATCGTAATCACAGCACTAGGCGTGCCGATAGGAAGCGTGGGGTTGGGAAATGTACGCTATTTATGGTCCTTCCTCTGCCTCCCAGTGCATCTGTCTACTTTTGTTAAATTTCAATAAACTTATTTGTAGATCCTGCAGGTCTGGGGGCTGGTTCCCCGGGGAAGGTTGGGGCTGGGAGCAGCTGAGCCTTGCTGGGGGGGCATTTTGGAGCTCTGAGGAATCTCGGCTTTTTTCGGAAGATGACAGCAGCACCTCCCAGCACCCCCCAGTGAGGCCCTGTGCCTGGGGACAGGGGCAGGTGGTGGCTTGTTAGCGGTGGCACTTGATGAATCTGAGCCCTTTGGCTCTCTTTACCTGCTGATTTCTTCTGATGGGGGCAGCAGCACTTGCAGAGGGCTGTTCAGGTGAGCATGAGTGCTGGCAAGGAGGATTCCTGCTGCTGTGCTGCACGTGAGTGGGTAATGGCGATATCTTTGATGCCGCAGCTTGGGAGCTGGGCTGTGCCATTTATGATGCGCTGGAGCGGATTCCTCTTTCTCAGCCAGAGTGCATCTCCGC